GGGTCACTGATTTTCGTGCAAGTGTTGAATAGAGAGCTACAGTAATTTGTGCTGGCATCTGGGGGAGGGTCGCATTTTTTAGTGCAATGCAACCCTTATGACAACAGTAAAACTAGCCGAGATTTTATGCACAGCCTGGTTGACTGTGTTGCCTCAACAAACTTCTTTTATTCTCATTCAGCAGTTGTATTTACATTGAATGACGTGTTAAAATCTTAAGTTATATTCAGATCTATGATGGGGACCCACTGTCTGATGATTCCAATAATGCACCAGATATGGGAGAAAAACAACAAGTTACGCGAACAGAAAGTTGATTGGCGACTAGAAATTCACCACTGGAGAAAATAATATTCATGTACTGCTGGATTAAAACACATAGATTTATTGTAGCGTAATATTATGATATAGTATGTATTTACCATACCAATAGCCACTGTTTCTTTACATGTATTTTAGCAGATTGTAATTAATATGTAAATATAAGTTTTGCACTACATTACTTAATACCCTCAAATATGACCTTTAAAATGTTATTATCTCAAGCCATGATTACTCAATGTAAGAAGAATTAAGAATTAATTGATGTACTAGTGGTGTGGTTAGCACCTTTCTACTATACACGTACAGCCAGTTATCTATGGTGTTCATTCTCATTACACTGCAATGTTTGGCTACAAGGCAGAACTTTCTTCCCCACTCACCCTTCCCTTCACAAAATATTTTTATCTTTTTAGTGTAGGTTTTATAGTATGATTGAAGAATTTTCGTCACATGGATGTATTTATGGCAAGCTAGTGGAAACTTTTGTTGGTATGGTGGCTGTGCTGGCATGCAGGCATAAGCCTACCTATTTAACAAGTCATTGTGAATGACATAGTCCCCGGTGGAATTAGGGGAAATGTTGTTATTCATGCCAAAAATAAAGTTACAGACCAAAATCATAGTTAGTAATTTAGAGTAAATAAATGGCTGGTCTAGTATCAACAGAAATTAGATGTATAAAATTACTCTTCCGAAATCTTAAACGGGATTGTTTTTGACCCGATTGTGCAACGAATTGTCATGAACGTGTGTCATGTATAATTTGAAGAGAAAAAAAACATGTCAACAATATATTTTGAAAAAATCAAGATGACTGCCCGTTGGTTTGATTCAAACACGGAACAAATCATCAAGGACATGTATTTCAACATACACATCAAATTTATATCAAATTTGTCATTGAACAAAAACTGACAAATCCTGTCGAAGAAACCACATTTTTCAAAAAACATCTATTCCTATATTGATGATGTATGTGCCAAACATGAATGAAAAAAAACAATCAATTAATTTTTAAACATTTCAAAAAACAAAGTGGCTGCTAATCGACCATCTTTGAGCCAATCCTGAAACGAATCAACATAGACATGTATCATAATAAGTATAATGTATTTACCAAATTTGAACATAAACTGACAAAGCTTGTATAAAATACCACATTTTCAAAAAACAAAATGGGTGCCAGTCAGCCATCTTTGATCCGATCACAAGACGAATCATTATAAACTGATAATGTAATGTAATGTATCTTAAAATGTATAATATATGTACAATATTTTAAGAAAAACTTACAAAGCATGCATACAAAAAATGGCTGCCAGTCAGACATATTAGATTTAATCAGTGAACTACTGCATGTGCATATGTCCCAGGTAAAATACTAGGCACATGCAGAGAATGAACAGAACTGGTTCACAGGGTTCTGAAATATAACTCTGGACAGAAGGACAGACAGAGACCCCATTATAAGCCCTTGTTTCGAACTTTATTCGGGGACTAATAAAGCTGGCATTCCATGATTGCCCAAACTTATATCTTGGTATCGTGTGCATTTTTATAGGTTCATTGTTTAGGTGAGCTTTATATATTATTTCATGAAACATCACAGTGATTCATACATAATGCATTGAAGATGATTTGGTGAATATGATTCTTTTTTTTCATTCACATATTTATACTGTGTGGCGGGCAAGTCTTCTAACTAGATTTGGATAATAGGCTTCTCGATAGATTTCCAATTAATGCTAGAATTTGTTAAACCAGTAAAATTTTGCTGAATCTCAGTGTTGTTATCAACAAAGCGTATATCTAGGGCATGTAATAAGAATATAGAATGGTGTTTTAGAACATGTGTATCTCGTATTGTAAATAATGCACACGATTCAACACACAACACTCATAAATGTGCCAGTAAAATTGTGTATGTATCACCCTAATTTGGTATATACACAGTATCATACATTGTTCTCTTCTCAATGAGAGCGTGGCTAACTGATTGAAGTAGAAAGTTCTGTAAGCTGTGTAGTAGAACATCAATTAATATATATATATATATATATATATATATATATATATATATATATATATATATATATATATATATATATATATATATATAATATATGTACTATCCTTACCCTTAGAAAGAGGTCACAATTTTTCATGCACCATTCAAGGGAGGAGGTCAGCAAATTATATGCAAATGTTTGTGAAGGGTCATATATTTTTATGTACACGACTTTCAAAAAACACCGACCTACCACCCTTGTCCAGTCCCTTATCGTAATTGACGTAATGGAGAAAAATTTGCTGAGGAAAGGATTACGGTAAAAGGATGAGTTATGTGCGAACCAAACAAGTGAATGCTTTGATAACAAAATTGCTATGTGTGTGTTTTTTTATCACCGGAGATGCTTGTCAATGTAATCGCTATTTTTGACAATCAATTGGGTCTATGTTAGATAAAGATAGTTTATCATTGATTTGGAAATTAAGTTACCTCTCTGTGTTGTTAGACTATATAAAGAGCTAGAAGCCTCAATTATCCAATATTGTACTCATTCGTGACAAGGTAAGTTTACTTTGAATAAGATTATGTATCATAGTCGTGCTAACTACGTCCAGATCCAGTCAACTTGTATATGTACAACGTGTTTATTTTGCGATTTGATTCACAGACCATTATTTTGAAAATGCGTTTCTTGATTCTCGCCGTGCTCGTTGCAACAGCCGTAGCGACGGCCCCTTACTACAGGGTCCGTGATGCCGTAGAAGGTCGTTATTTGATCAAATTGAAGGTAAGTCATTATACATACACTGTAATACTACAGGGATTTATAAGATACGCATTCACAATTATGAAATCTATGAGCAATATCTCAAATTTTATTTATTGAATGATTGATAGTTTTTTTGAGCTGGTTACGATTTCTCAAATATAAAATATAGGGACTGTAACAATAAATTCTAATTGGCCAGAAAACTCCAAAATACATGTGAATTCAACAATATTCAGCCATCACACGTCATAGCAGGAATAAAGCATACAATGAAGTAAATCATTTTAAGAAATCAATGATATCCAGCAGATTTTTCCCACTGTGTAAGTAATTAAATCACTGTATTCGACACATAAAAACAGTGCTATTGCGTAATTCATAATAAATTGCATTTGCATTTTCGGTTATCTGCATTGAATTGTTTAAACCCTACATTTAAAATTTGCATCATCACAGATATTTTAATCTAGTCATTACTGCTTTAAGGAAATAGATTGTACATAATAATTGAACGTTATAAAGAAGTAGCCTTTGTTTGTATAGGCTATTACTTTATACATTTCCACTAAACACGGTGATTATGTCATCCATCAACATTGAAAAGCAGCGACATTTGTAATTCTCACTGGAATACTACTACTGGCCGTTAACACTGCGCTTCTTCTTTACATGGAAAATCATGGCGAATTATGACATATATGCGATATTTTCCATTTTTCGCATCGTGTACATTTATTTTAGACATTTATGTGCAAAATTTGCAAAATAAACGAGTATCTAAACGACGACTTTGAGATGCAGTTATGATACACCTACATCAATGTTGTCGCCACAGTGATTGTTTATTCCACAGAATAGTTCCAAATGCAGCGGCTACACGAGGCAAAATGGGTCGTTTCGGGAACTTGGAGAAAGGTCAATTCGCTTCAAATATGAATCTTTATCAGTTGCATACTTTATTTTATGATTTATTGATTGTGGTCAATACATAATTGTGTATGCCTATACTCTGTGTCGCTCAGTTGCGGGCAATATCTTCATAGGTGGTGAATTAGGTAATAACAGTTATACGCAGTTCAAAACATATATATTATTTGCGGTCTCCATTAAGATTTTATTACAACAATTATTACTTCCATGATATATTATTCAAATTACAGGACGGAGTATCTATCTCAGATTTTGCGAGCAAGATGGCTCCCTTGGGTGCTTCAGTAGTTAAAAAAATACCGTAAAGTGCTCAATGGAATTGCTATTTCAGCACAGCCGAAGATTATCACTAGTGTAAGATCACATTTAATGTTTATTTGTTTGTTTGTTTCTACCATGAAGAACTAAATTCAATAATACGTACGACATTCAGATAAATAACGGCAAAAAACATAAAATAGCTTTATTTGAGCGAAATATTACGTCCCACCATTATATTAGCATGGAATATTTGTCAAAGCATTACATATGACTTTTGTAGTATTTATTGTTAACTGTTGTATATATCACTTTTTTAAACTAGTGATTTAGTAAGTGCATTTTCAGTGTTTTCTAACGAACAAATTCTATTTACTAACCGACTTGTGTGATATGAATGTGACATCTGCCTGAAATTTCTCAATGAGGTTTTATTTGTTTTTAAGTATTTTTGGACCAGGTATAATTGCTGGATGATGTAGCCATGGTTGTTTTGTTCAAAGTTTTTTGTTTTGCTCCCAATTGCAAGTACATTGGAATGAGTAATTTGTGAAAATACCGATACTTTTTGCGTTGGACTGAGGCAGTTTACATACGTTGTGTTCCGATGTCACATAATTCTAATAATCTTAAGATATCACGACATAACGCATGTGTTTATAATTTCAATGGTAACTCTAAATTAGTATACCGTTATAGCTTAGTAATATGGATGAAATTGAGTATATTGAAGATGATGGTATCACAAGAGCCACAGTGGAATGGGGAATGGACCGTACAGATCAACGCAGCAACAACCTTGATGGTGTAATGAACCTTTATGGTGAGCACTCTAGCAGTACGGTTGTTATCAAACATTCTAGGAACTATCACAAGTTATCCTATGGTATCAGTACATTTTCACAGATAAAACACATGACATAACTTGATGTGATTACGACAGACTGTCGGTTGCGTGATAACTTTACAGTACCGGCTTTTGTGATACTACCCATTCCTCACAAATAACAAGCTACTGTAGAAACAAGATATAAAAATATAAAATAAGATATAAAACAATGTGTTTTTAAGTTCCAACAGCTACAGAAAATAACGAATACGCGCTATTTTCGTTTTGTCCAGCTACTGGTTCCGGTGCCAATGCATACATCTTGGACACTGGTCTGCGACACTCTCATAATGAGTTTGATAACCGAGCATCATACTTCTGGGACTATGATTCAAGCAACAATGTATGTATTACAGATGTTCATAGTGGCAAAAACACAGTTACCATATGCTATGCATGTCTTGATGATTTGAAGTTACGGTTAGTGATTTGTACGTTTTGAATGTTCGCTTATATTATTTCATTTATAGGGTGAAGACTGTAACGGACATGGCACCCATTGTGGTGGAACAGTAGGAGGTAACTCAGTTGGCATTGCCCCAGACACATTATTGTACAGTGTACGAGTATTGAACTGTCAGGGAAGTGGTCTTATTTCAAACATGGTTGATGGTAAGCTGGGGTTTACATCGATTGACTAAAATCTGATTATTCATAGAACCTGTCGTTGAATTAAGAAATCGTTATACCATCTGGTAGGTGACCCCCAAGATGTGATGCAATGTTTCGAATGCATCGTCTTGCGAATGATATCAATATCGCAAAAGTCAGACAAATAAATAAAATGTGAAATTAGTAAATCTTAATTTGGTGAAAAATAGTTTAGTATAATATGAAGATTCCTCAATGCGAGTTATGTTATTTATAGGTCTTGATGAAATAGTTGCTAGGGGAAACACTCCATCCAGGTCTGTTGTATCCATGTCTGTTGGGGCTGGTGCTAGTTTATCACAAGACAATGCCGTACAACGAGTTATCGATGACGGTTATACGGCTTCCATCGCAGCTGGCAATGAGGACCAAGATGCTTGCAATACTTCACCTGCAAGAGTTGAAGATGTACGTATACATATCGGACACTTATAGCAATCAAATCGATACACTAGAATTAAAACTACTTGGTTTGGGATAATAGGTTCAAAATGTTATATACTAGTATTACGAAAAAAATACATTAAGTGACTATAACAAGTGATGCCATATGACGTACTTTAATCCGATTTAGGCTATCACTGTTGGTGCAACCGACGTTAACGACAATCGAGCAGGCTTCTCCAACTGGGGCAGCTGTCTTGACATATTTGCACCTGGTGTTGCTGTTAGAAGCGCCTGGTATACGTGTGATTCTTGTTATGAAACCATAAGTGGAACCTCCATGGCATGTCCTCATGTCTCTGGTAAGAATACCTTAAAGTAGTTTTATTAAAAACAGCTTTAAAGTCTGTGCCTTATTTGTTTATTTATTTTGGTATTTTGTATAATCCAAATTTGATTTTCTTTTCAAAGGTGTTGCCGCCGTACATCTGGGTGCTGGCACTTGTAACGACAATGCCAGCTGTAGAAATAAAATTGTTGCTCTGGATTCTACTATTGGTGCAGTAAATGACCCCAATGGATCACCAAATTTGTTGTTATATTGTGACTAAATATACATAATAAGTAAAAGCAAGTTAATATTTATTTTATGTTAGAACTAAACTGTCTGACTTGGCATATGCATTATCATCCTAGCTAAAGTTATTTTCAGTGAAATCCTAGCTAAAGGTTTTTGCTTGGGTGTGTTTGTCCAATTTAAATAACATGAATGTAACATTGCCAGGTCTCATGTGATGTGTTGCCTGATATGAATATACTGATTGCCATTCCTTCTATTCCACAATTATACTATACTGATACGGATGTATTTTCTTTGTTTATAGGTCGTTTTATCAGAGAACATGGCACATGATGTAGACGTGAATAAATTTGATTTTAATTGAAAAAAGTAATTGTCTTTGTCATATTTATTTACTCCAGTGCTTATCTCAACTGCTGATGTATATGATATATATCAATATGGGCTAAAATAAAAAAGTCTGCACACAATTTCAGAATATCAAATAATACTGGGATAGATATGTTAGTTATGCAGATAAAACATGCTTGAATTAACATGGAAAATAATAGTATAAATGTAAACGCAAAATTCTGTTCAGGAAAAACTAATCAAACGATTGTCAGGGCGTCCCGGCAACATGACAGTTTTATGCATGTTATACAGTGAAGACAATTAAACTGAGAGAAACTAGAGACTCGCTGGTAAACATACAATACATATTATCAGTGATTGGATGAACTTACCATTGAATTACTTACATCGTAGTGAATACCGTTGATTAGTTATTACACTGCACATCAGCCTTTTCCTGTGATCTAATGAATGAACAGATCCTCAATCCTGAATTTATGCTAATATGAGCTGAATGCTATCTGGTAGTCAACACTACGGAATAACAAAATTGAACTACATGAGATTACAAACTACGTAGGGGTTGCTCACACACTCGACGAAAGAAGCATAAATAAAATCAGCGAAATGTGTGTTGACCCGTCCTGTACGAGTAACAACCAATGACATTGTATCGAAATTTGAATAGAAGCAAAATCCTATACAATTTACATAAAACAGGGCAGAGTGTTCAAGTAGTCAGCACTTAACAGTTACAATAACGCTAAACCTTATTAATCACCCAGACCTACAACCACGGTAACACACTTCAGAAATATAAAACGTATAAAGTGATAATAATACAATAATTACACAATATGCTGGGACACAGTTTAGGATTAGCTTGGATATTATACAAGAGAGCCAAAACAAAAATTATACAAACAACATATTACAATAGAATCGTGAGATATAACAGGGTGAGTCCGATTAGTGTTCTGGTTGTTGAAGACTCGCTGGCGCTTCACCTTGGGGTTCGTAAACGTCGTTATAGTAGTACAAAAGAAACACACACAACAGTCACTCTACTAGGACGGTGCCGCGTCGTTCTATTATAACTACAGAGCTAAGAGCGAAGAAATCATTAACATTTTTCCCACAAAGCAATGCAATACATGGCACTTTGACCTTTCACCGAAGAGCAGTCTTAAACGCGGAAATAAACATGCCAGATAGCTTTTCCAAATATCTTCTTTTGTTCGACGATTCCGATATTGATTTGGAGGAAATAATGGGTGACCCACATATTTACCTTGAAATATCTTATGGGTAGAGTTTGACTGTGACATTTCCTGTGTGTGTTCACATGTGTTTTAAAGGCAATAACGTGAATACAATGAAGGTGTGAATTTCGTAAGAAACATCGTTGTTATTTTTAAAAAAAACCTGATGGTACAGTTGCTGTTTTGTCAAATTCCTAGTAAAATGTGTTTATATTCATTTTCAGCATCTCATAACCGAAGACTGAAGATACCACTGCACCTAAAGCATCAACATCTATGGGGTCAGAGCCAGTAAAACAAACGAAGCAACAACCCAAAAAAGTAAGATTTCTTTAGTATATAAATGGACAAAAAAGATTACATCCCTTTTGGGTTATACAGAGAGGATTTAAAGG